AACTCATTTTGTGATCTATTTTTCTTTATTTTCTTTTTAAAGGTTAAAAACAAAAACAAAAAAGTGCTGTGTTTGGTATCAAAATCAGTTTAAAGAACTGATCTAAGCTGCGCTTGAGACCAAGAGAGTTGTGAAAAAGAGTTTGACAGAAACTTGCTTGACTTGTTTAAATTCATATAAAAAAATTACTTCATTTTCTAAACATGTTAATTTATCAACACTCTCTATATATTAAATTAAACTTAAACTAAAATATTTTTCATCCCCTTCTTTCTTTGCTTCTTATTTATCCAAACCTGGGAAACAACATGGCTTTTCAAGAACCTCGCTTTGAGAAACGGTACAAAAAGATTACAAAGATGACACCCTGGCTCTAAAGTCTTTGAAAAAGTCACACTCCCAGAGATTTTTGCAGTTGAATAATAATAATAATAATAATAAAAATTAATTATTTTGCTGCATGTGAACAAAATCCATCAGTTTTAAACAGTGAATAATGCACGCAAGCTTGCATATGCTGAGTTGGTCGCCTTCTACGCAAAGTGGAATCACTTTTCACTGCACTTTTGTCACCCCACACAAGTACCCTCTGCAGCCCACCTCCCCCTCTGCCGACCAGCATTACATCTCCATGTACTCCATGCATCCAGTCTGAATTGCATATATTCAACTGATAGCCGCCAAATCGATTGCATTCCAAATTCATAATTTTTTTTGCAAGCTTAATGCGATGCAGCCAGCAGAGCCCCTGTATTCAGTCCTCCGTTTTTTTTTTTTTTTTTTTTAGGAGGGAGGCAGTGGACCGTGGCATATTCCAGAGACAGGGTAACGAAGGCTTGGTGAATAGTGGGGTTTGAGGAGGCGGGGATTATGTCTGCCAATCAGAGGGCTGGGGATGGGAGGCCTGTGTGTGTCAGGGAAACAATGTCTAATCCTTCCTAAGCAGCGGTCTCCTCGGCAGCAGAGGGATGAAATTGGGATGAAGGCACGACAAGACACAACAGGTAACACGTCCCTGTCGAATTAAAATGCTGCAAGCAGTTTGGGCCGGGGGCTTTATGGTATGATAAGCAGCTGTGAGGCGTGTGGAAAAGAAGGGGGTATTAATGTGCAGAGTGATTTTTGTGCAACAAATAATAGCTGAACAAAAGAGGTCTTAAATGGGAGAGCAAATTGTGTTTTTTTTTTTTTTTTGCTCAGGAACTAAATTTAAAAAAAGGAAAACAGAGCATTTTGTTTTTCCTGCTAGGCAAATAATTTATCATTCTGAAAAAAAAAATGAAAAAAAAGGGAAAACTGGTAAACAGCAAAGAGCCTGGAGCAACTTATCTATTTTTACAAGATGGGTAAAGTCCATTGGAAGAATGAACATATTCTAATTTTTTCATATTACAACCTCACACCACAAAGGTCCATGCATTTCTGAGGTGTTTTATTTGGAGAACTAACAGAAAATAATCCTTAATTGTCAAGTGGAACATAAACAATGGATGGTTTTTATAATTAAAGCTGAAATTAAATCTAAAAAAAAAAACCAGAGGTGTACATGTGTATTCAGCTCCAATACCTATCACAGCTGCAAATCTTTTAGGGTATGTCTCTAACACATTTGCTCATTTAAAAAATGAAGCTATGAACGTTCTTTACAAAATAGCTCAAGTTCAGTCGGATAGTTTAGAGTTTTTTTTGTTTTTTTTTTTTAAACTTTTGGATCAGATTCTGAATGGGATTTATGTCTCAGCCATTTTAGCCCAGACTAGCTTTACAATCCCTGCTGAAGAAAAGTATCCCCACGCATGCTGCTGCCACTCCCATGTGTCATCATAGGAATGGTGTGTTTAAGTTGATGTGCAGTGTCGGTGTCGTCAGACTAGACTATGTATGCAGACCACAGTTTTCACATTTGTGTTTGTAAAAATGTTTTCCTCCCATTTCACAATCATGCGCTACTTTGCGATGGTCTCTTACGCAAAATCCTAATAATATGCAAACAGGTTTGCTGTAGTTATGTGACAAAGAATGACAAAATAATGAAAGTGTGAAAAAATTCAAGAGGCATGAATATTTCTGCACAAGGCACTGTAATAAGATCAAGAAAAAGCAACAAAAAAGCCTGTTTGTCCACAAACTTGGTGAGACTACTGCGCTGTCCATGGTGCTGAAACAGCCTAACGCTGCAGAAATATAGCCACAAGCTGCTTTTCCATTATAATTTTTCCGATATTTTTAACCACTCAGAAGATAAAAAGTGCCAGTTACAGCACCACAGAGCAGCTGAAACAGGAAAAAAGGAAAGAAGATGCAAATCGTCAGACACTAGAGGGGTGCCCAAGCGTCAAAAGAAAAAAAAAAAAAACGGGGAAAAAAAAAAAAAGACACACCCAGCAGATGAGTCAGAACATCCAATTTCAATTCTGAAGTTTGAAGTCGTTATGCAAGTCTCAAGGGGTGGGCTGCGCTGTGGGGTGCAACATTTATTCTGAAAGAATTACAAAGTGTGAGTGTGTGTGTGTGTGAGAATGAGGTGATCCGAGTCTAAAGAAAAAAACCAAAAAAAAAAGGAGAGAGAAAAACACCCCAGTAAGCTTTGGAGAGCTCAGTATTCATCATCTAGCTCTGCACGATGTGAGAGCAGAGGAGAGCAGAGATGAGGAGGGGAAATATAGGTCTGAGATCAGCGATAACAAGGCAATCTCACACATGGTTTCACGTTAAGATGATGGGAGAATTTCAAAGAAGAGCCCCCTCTATAGGACACCTCCATGTCAATCACAGCATGGAGAGAGAAGCAAAGGTCCCAGCGTGTCTCTCTTTTTTTTCCTTTTCATTATTATCATTTTTACCTTCTCTGTAGTCTAATCCTTGCACTGCTGCTGTGAAGAAACGAGGCTTAATAATAACAACAGCTCCTAGAAATTATTCAGTGCGGCTCCTTTTGTTATTTGCTCAGCTAAATGCTTTTCTATTGTCAGTGTTTTCAAAGGGGGCTTCACAAACAAGCCTTGACAAGTGCAACAAAACCCATCTATTACCACCAAATACGAGGCATTACTCAGATTCCCTCTCATTCATTACAGCCTCCCAGTATAAAAGCCAGACATGCAGTGTGATGAATGCTTTCTCCATTAATGGAAACACTGCGAGGCATCTATCCATCTCCTCCATCAAGCTGTTTTTTTTCTTCCCTTTTTTTTTTCCTCTGAATGAAAGTTGAACAAAATTAAAACTGTCCACTGTGTCTCTGTGAGAGCTTTCTCATTTAGGAGAAAAACAGGAATAAAATATGCACAAATGAACACGTTTTTTTAAACATCAGGAAAAATCAGATAGGTGTTGAGATTTAATTTTCTGTCGCTCTCATCTCAGGAGACGATCCCTGGACTGAGCTGCAGCGGCATAGGTGGAAACACGATGAGCGGAAGATGAAAATTACAAGGAGCAATAGAGCAGGATTGGAGTGATAAATTGAGAAAAAGACAAAGAAAGTTGGTGGAAGGAGGCAACGGGGCCAAGATAAAAGAAAACAAGAGGCGAAATAAAAAACAGCAGGAAGAGAAATGAAAGAATAAACAACGAAAACAGGATTCTTCAAATAAAGCGAGACTAGATGTCGACTGCAGAAATAAAGTAGAGATGCATTCATGAGAACTTAACGTGAGAAAAATCAATCTAAGATCTCAACATGGTCCTTCAAATACATATATAAAGCTAAAGAAACTCTATCGTTTTTAGAATGAGATTCTCATAATGTGATTACCTCAAATAAAAATAATGCTTTTAAACATTTTAAAGCAAGACCACAGACCGAATCTATTTGCTTTTATTTAAAGCAAATATTATTCCTAGTTCTACAATAACAACGTAAGATAATTAATATTAAAATACTGCATTTTTAAATGTATCAACACTTTAACTCTGATACACAGACGTAAGCAGAAACATTTAGAGAGTAGCACGGCCAGCTGATATTTGGTGCTTACTTAGTCAGGCTATCTGCTCAATTAAGTCAACCTGTAGTCGGTCGTTTCTAAAATATTATGAATCTATGAGCAAAGTGTGGCGCTGATTGAGTTTCCACATCGAGATTGTCTTGACTTGAGTTATTTCGAAATAACCTTTTTTTGAAAAAATATATAAGAACTGGAAAATAAATTTAAAAAATGCTTCTTTCAGTCAGCTGATGGGCAGCGAGCAGCAACATGTGGGGGAAGGGAGGAGCTGCATAACTCCACGCTCCAAATAAGTGGAGGAAACGTCATTCACTTTCTCTGGCGTCTCATTGAAAGGGAAGTTGAAAAGTAGAAACGGAACGATGGCCGACTTGTGAAACCTGAACCAGATCCTATTTAGCCACCATTTCTATATCATCTCATGCAGGCTTTCCCTGTGCATGGACTCTTTTTCTCGTTTTTTTCCCCATGACTACTAAGCAGTGCCTTATCAGTGTTAAAGAAGGAAACCTGCTTTATCATTTCATTTTCTCTGCTCCTTTCAGTTTTCACTCATGTCCTGTACTCATAGTAAGGATTTTGCCAATTCTGAAATCGATTTCTCACCAAACTGTTTCATCACATCCTTGCTCTGCATGTCAGATTTATGTTCGGTGGCTTGATGCTATTAGTGGGGCTCCCAGGGGCAGATAACATTTTGCCAAATGCCATTATGCGATCTACTCAGCTGGACAGTATTGTCTTGTAAATTGGACTGTATGAGACTGAATCTCAGTGTGACTGAATTACACTTGAAGGAATTTGATTCATTTCATTATATTTGCCTCTAATCTTTATTTGAACTGGAGCTGCAGTGCATGCCGTGGTGCTAAAGGTGCTTTAAAATTATGTGGAAAATAAACTGAACTGAAAGTTTGACTTTGGGTTAAAGTTGACCACATCTCACACCCATGAATGTCATTTTCAGGAATTTCCCGCCTCAGACTTGAGTCTCCTTCCTCGACACTGTCTTTATCCCATAAATCCTCACTGAGACGTTCTCAGCCTTACCAGGATCATGTGACCTGTGGAGATATCCATGTTGGACGGCACCGGCTCCTCGCACCAGGAGGAGGTGCTGCTGCGCGTCGACGGGCTGGCCACGGGGCCGTCGCTGAACTGGGACGACACGCTGTTGAGGCGAGAGTGACGCAGGGTCTCAGGCCGCTCCACGCGCTCCGACGTCTTGATCGCCATGCGCTGGCGACACAGTTCCTGTAGGGGGAGGAGTTACAGAGCGTGATGTGGAAAGACTGAATAATCAGGAATATTATTTATTTATTTATTTACTTCCCTTTGGAAGCTGTCATGTATTTCATATCCCTGTCATACACGTAACAATTGCTGGTGTATTTTACGTGCTTATCCTTACGCTGTGAGGAGCCGACTTCTATAAATGCACCTCGTAAAATCCTGTATCTCTGCTCACTTGTCTGTAGATTAATGGCTTATCCCTGTGGATTATAAAGATTATACTAATTATGTCAAAAATACACGAGCTGAGGAAGCTTGCGCCTTTTCAAGTAGAAATGCTGCACCTTAATACCACACAATGACTTTCTCTCTCTCTCTCTCTCTCTCTCTCTCTCTCTCTCTCTCTCTTTTCCTCCCATTTTTCAAGAATGGGCCCAAAACTGCATTTACATCACACATTTCCATCTACAGAGACTGTATTATTTCCACAAATAGGAGCGTTTAGACTCCTATTTGGCCAGAATAGACAGACACTGGGGGAAATCAATTTGTATCAACTAACTCACTGAAGGGGCAAGAAAATCTATGGGAGTGGCCCTCGCCTCCAAACATAGAAATACATTGGGAGAATTCAACCACTGGTCAGATTGCACAAAATATAAACATCTCACAGCAAAGCAGTGCTGCCTCCAGAAGGCTTTTCAACTGGATGGCCAGATGGTGACCACTGATCAACTTGTAGTGGCACCCAAAAAAAAAAAAAAAAAGAAAGCTTATATTTTACAAACTAGTCTATTTAGGTCATTTATTTGCTGTTGTCATAAATAAAAGAATGAATGAATAAATAAATAAATAATCCATACAAGTCTTTTTTAAATCAAACTATTCAACTTATTTCTCTAAATGAATTATTACAATTGAACCTTCATGCTTAGTTTTACATTTAGCTATACACACACACACACACACACACACACACACACACACACACACACACACACACACACACACACACCCCCACACACACACACACACTTGGAATGTAAATGCAAAAATTATGAAAATGCAAAAAATATATGAGATTTGCAAATAAAATAGTAATTTAAAAAAATCTAGAGAAACAAATTACAGCTTTTTCCCTGCTCTTTGATTCATGCATTAAGAAGATGAAGGCTGCCATGCTGTTGTGTCAGGGGAGTGTCAGCAAATTCACAGGTGTGGCCAAAAGAGAGGCACTTCTATCTATAGGGTGAAGCACTAAACTAAAAACTTAAAGCAACAATTCTGGAGTTTTACAATGCTGAGGTTATATTTAGAGGTTTGGGTGGGACACACCTAAAGGTGATAAATATGTCGTGATGCTCATTTTAGGCATATTGCAAAGTCTGTTCTGTCTTGCATCACTGCAGAAAACCAAATAAATAATTAAAACAAAAAGCCATCTAATGCTTTCTTCTGATTAATATCTGAATGTTTCCCGCTAAAAGCCCCACACCTCTCCTAATGACTCAGCTCTTCTCCCATCATGCCTCAGTGCAAACATTAGCTCCCTGTAGCACAGCATCATAAAACTGTGTGCAATCTTCCGCCTCTATTTTCCCCCTGCTTCTTTCCTCGAGCTGTGATCTCATTTGATATTTGCATTTGGAATTCATAATCTGCGAAGCCCACCATGTTTGATTTCTTTTTTTTTTTTTTTTTGAGGAGGCAAAGCAGCTCCCTTTTTCTCTCCACAAAATTAATTTTCACACCCAATTAATAACGACGAGGACAGCGCAGGCCAGAGAAAATGCCTCATGAAAGCGCACGCTATCTCATGATGAATCGCAGTGATATTTCCCTTTAGAGCACAGCCCTCCTCCTCCTTCTCCTAAGCTCCTGGTTTTGGATCAGCTTTTCCACCATCAGACTTTAATGATTACAGCCATCAAATGGTGCCCAGGGCCCTGGCCTTGGGGCAGCATCCAGGTCCACCTCATAACTCATCCCACCTCTCAGCGTATCTGCAAAAGCACCAGTGCTGTGCTGCTGGAGCTGACAATTTTTATTTTTTTTTTCCACAGAAGAAGAAAAAGGAGCATACAGTCAGTGCCAGGGGAGAGACAAAGAGGAGCACAGGTCAGAGGATTACAGGTTCACTGCTGCCCCCGCCTTTCAGATTACTAATGAGAAGGAAAACAGGCCAAATCACAAGCAGGGACCCGACACAAGAATCATTAAAAAGTCTCTTTTTTTTTTTTCTGCAGGACTGCGTTATATTAGAATCCTTGCAGTTTTAACATTGCAGTTAAACATTGTAATAATAATCCCATTTGCAATAAATCCGAGAAAGTAATTTGCAATGTTAATATTACCTACCTAACTATAATGAAATTTAATTGAATATTCTTTTTTTTTTTATTATCATATATTGTGAAGAAGAAGAAGCCACCCTGTATAACGCCTGAGCACCAGTCTCAGAGCCAGCAAGAAATACACACTAACAGAGCTCAAATTTAATAATTGTTCGGCAAAGTGTGATTTCCCATTCATGCTAATTTCTCTTCTTTCCAGCAAAAGTCATCTGGGGTCGCAAGTGTTAACACGTTCTCAGAGCAGCCCTGCAGAAGCCTGATTAAACATTGAAAATGTTAACTCGACATGCGGATAAATGTGTTCGGAGTGGCACGCTGGGCACAGCTGAGTCCCAACCCTGCAAAAATCAATACGGAGCAGACCGCCTGCTGCTTTGGAGGAACAGTGGGAATAGGTCAGGGTGGAGACACGTTTCCGATCGCATGCTTTCAGGTTCACGCACACACAATTTTCCTCAAAAAGGTAGGCAGAAAACGGAGATCAATTCGGATGATCTCAAATACAGATGTGGGTCTCCAAACACACTTTCACAGAATAATTCACCCAACATGAGCACGCTGCGTTTTCCACCAATAGCAGAGAGCAGACTGGTTATTCTGGCGTCTGATTGGCTGGCAGCACAGAGAGGGGGGGAGGCTGGGACTAACCTGATAGGCTGCGGTGGCGTCATGGCTGGTGTCAGTCCCCAGGCTCGCCAGCTTCTCCTTCATGTGGAGGTGCGAGCGCTGGCGGACGCAGAAGAAGGTGGCGGACACGGCCAGCGCCACCAGGATGAAGAGCATGCAGAGGACGGAGAGTAGCAAGAACTGGCCAGACTCCACCCTGGTCTCCTTCACCACGGGGATCTGGGTCAGGCTGCCCCTCTGGAGAACAAACAGAGAGAGAACACGCTGTCAGAGCAACAAACTATGCTTCCTTGACTTTTTCTACATGGATGCGGCCCCCACTCCATGTCAGGAGAGAATTTATTTATTTGTTTATTTTCACCCGGAAGCTTATTTTGACTTTCAAATACAGAATATCTGGATTTACAGCCACCGTCTGACTGGTCCTACTCATTAGGCGTCCCTGATAGCCGCCTCATTATGTGCATTCAGGCTCAGTCAGCCCCCATTACCAACCTCTGCCCACTGCTGTCTCTTGTCTGAGGCCCACTACAGATATTTACAACCCCATTTAGTGCTGGCATGAGCCACCCTGGCACCGTGCAGCTGCAGGATGCTGGGATACGAAAAGCTTGTGCTTAATTAGCTCCTCTGGTCCTGAGTTGGCTGGATTAGGCTCTGGGCAAAAAAGCAGGGCTGAGGGGACACACAGGTAGGCTAAAGTGCATCCACCAGTAGAAGAATGAAAAAGCTTTCAAATAAAATCTGAACGCCAATACAGCCAGAAAGATATATCTGTAGGAACTATGGCACTTTAAACATAAAGACCATATTTTGTAATAGCGAGATCAGGCTTCTCCTGACAGATACCGAGTTGGTTTTTACTGAGGTCTGCCAGGGGCTAGCACAGGGTCAGAAAGACTCGATCAAACAAAAATAAATGTGTTTCAGCTTCTATGATAGAGGTAGTCGTATCAGAATCCAACAAAATAACGATGGCTTCACAAGATTATTTCCCTTTATTTTCTGAAAAACATATATATTTTTTTAGTTTGAATGCATTGGGGAAAAGATCACATATTTCTGTTCAATTGGCCTGCTTATCATAGATCACAACAAATTAATAAAAAAAAAAAATCGAGCGAGTCAGATCTTTGGCCGATTGATTGGTGCCTCTCTAATTGTCATCATAAACTCCCTTGAGGGGCTTGATAGCCAACAGTAGCTATTAGCAGCAATTTCAATTCAATTTAGTTTATTTCGAACATGTAACAGCTTACGTGTTGGAAGAAAAACAAAGACAAAAAAGTGAAACTAATGATACAAATAGAGAAATATATCACAAAATAGACCTAACTTCATTCAAGAGTGGATATTGTTCATTTAATTGGTAGTTAGCCCAAGATATAAGCAAATTAGCTGCTATGTTTTTTATTTTTTACTTTACTTTGACTTCATATCACCAGCTGACTTTGATTTAATGGGATAGCTAGAATATAGATTTGAATTGCAATACATGTATCTGGATCTGAATATGACTGTAACCATGAACTGTATCAGAAAAAAAAAAACTGTTTTTATTTGACCTGAATTAGATTCTGCATGGCTGTATTTGATTCTAACCCTTTGGTGACTGTGCCTGTAATTCAGGGCTGTTAAATTTAACTGAACTGAACTAAAATCCCTTACATTCTTAGTTTTTTTTTTTTTTTCCAGAATTTAAAAGGACTGAGAAATGTAACAAAAAAATATTCTTTTTTGATGCTGGTAGTAGGTTTAAATTCCACAGAAAATTTGTGAATTAGAAGATTATCCTCATTTGCACTTCTCAGAATAACCTTAACCTTCATGAAACCTTTATTTAACATGTAAATAGGTGATGAAAGTACAAGGTGTGGGTTTATGCAGTAACAGATGAAAACCTGTGTGAATTCTTAGTTTGATGCATTTAAACAAGACGGGGGTGGGGAATTACGTTTTTAGTCTCAATTGACAAGAATATTATTAGCCAGCAGTAATTTCTTGAAGCAATATTAAGAAGTGGTTAATTAGAATAGGGCCAAAAGAAAGCAGAGTAAATCTAGCTGCTACTTGGCAACCTCCAGACCATTAGGAGGCGCTGAAGACTTCTAATGTACAGTAAGAATGTTAAAAATCTGTGTTGTAACATTTGCAAATAATGAACCTACTTTCATATTTTGATTTGAAGTTTTATAACAAACAATATTTTTTCAATCTTACATGATATTTTTAAATGAATTATGCATTTTAAATAGCATATGAGAGTTACTGAACTGAACTGGAAGGACATGGACAGGAGTTGAATTTAGACCAAAATTTAAATGACTCCATATTCAGACAAACTGTTTATCACTTTCAGATGACATTTGCTCTAATTTTGTGATGTTTAAACTAACTAGATAGACTGGAATTAGATTAAAATGGCTTTAAATGTTTAGAATTAAAAATGTAAAAAAAAAAAAAACTACCAAAAAATTCAAATTTAGTTTTAACATTATGTCAAGAGTCATCATGTAATGCAGTAGCATATTGTTCTTTAATATTTTCTTATCCTTGTGCGTGAGTTTGCTTGTTAGCACAACCAATTAAAGCTGCTTGCTCACTTCAGACTTCCTTGCATCTCCACGTAGGACTGAGAAACAGTTTTATCTTCACAATTTATTTATGCAAGTTATTTAATAAATATTGTGGGGTGAGCAAATTTGAGGGTCAAGCAAAGCAGATTGTGTGATAAAGTCAATTTAATTGTGGGCTTACTAGCAAGAGCTGCTACATGCACAGCATGCAAACAGTATTTTTGCTGCTGTGGTGCCTGGTGGGTGATGGGCTTAACTCAAATTGGGATCCTAGATTATATTCTGCTAAGGCCACATTAGAGATGCACCAATCTATCAGGCAGAGATCAGAATCCTTAATTGGTTCTGACTGGTGGTCAGCAGGTCAAAAATCAGATTTTTCCCCCCACTCCCACCCTCCCTGCTCATTAAATACATAAAAAAAGAATTTCCACCATTTTGGGGCATGTAAAGAAATCAACCAATAACATGTTTTAACGCACTACTTTTTAGTAAAAAGAAAATCAGATAAAGGTCAGTGATGTTTAGATGAATATATTGGGATAGGCTTGTAATTCCTTATTCTCCGTAAGATTCAAAACTACGTTATTGTTTTGAATCGTCTCCAGCAAAGCATCTGCATGAAAGAACCTACAGAACATGCCATGAGTTATCGTCCTTAAAATAAACACATCAGAATTGTTCGTATTCAGAATCAACTAGTCAAACCTCACAGAAACCCAGAAATGAATCAGTGCACCATGCGAGCTTCCAATCCACATCAAAAGCTCAAAAAGCGAGGCTGAACAAGTAAGATTTTCTTCACTGATTGCAAAGCGTCCTGTCGAGCCAGATTTCAAAATAGGAAAGATTTCAAAAAAACAATTTCCTCCCCATAAATCATCCTTACTGTCTCTGCGATTGACGTGAAAAGAGGTGGTTTCTGAAAAAGCCAGCTATGCACACATTTTTGATCTAATGTTCCCGGCTGCAGAAGCTATGCATCTGCAAAAAGGGCAATATCAATAAACAACGAACACATACATCAGCAGGCTCCTAATTGTCTGCATGCAATACTGAGAGATTGATGGGCAGAAGTGAATCTGAAAAAAAAAAAAAAAAATTGGAGGAGCTTTGACATTTAGCCTGAAGGGGGGTCTAATAGGCATGCTGAAGGATTGCTACAACTTATCATTTCCAGAAACGAGACACTTCTACCTCAGACCAGCAACAATCCGGTTTGACCTTGTGGCTGATAACTGCCAGTGGGGTTTAGCAAGACGGCTCTGCTCAGTGCGCCGTGTTGGGCCTGACAGCGTTCACTGTTGATTGCAAAAGCTGAGGTTCCAGCATGTAGTTTCAATCAGGGATTAAGAGGCTGGAAAACAACAGAGCGCGGGGTTCGAAGAGGCCCGATTGCGGAGGAGAGAAATGGCCTCCATCCAAAGGATCGTCTGTCTCAGTGAGCAGATAAACACAAACTGTTTCCTGTCTCACTGTAAATTCTGACAGAAGTCAAAATCGTATCACGTAAAACTCAATTTTATCTTATGTCCCATCAAAATATCATTAGAGTGCTTAAGAACCCAAGTTCCAAATCTCTGGAAGTTCAATTGTTTCTTACATTAGAATTTTTTTTTTCTTTTATAAGAATCTTTCCCTTCGATCTCTTATCTTTGGCTACTCTTGAAAAATATTCACCTTGAAACGACTGGAAAAGCACCTCCACTGTGGGAGCAAAAAGCCTTGAAATTCAACGGAAGCATAAAAGACTGTTTGAAGGCGATAATCGTGCTGGAAGAAGCGAGGGAGAGACAGAAAGGAGATAAAAAAAGAGGACAAATAGCTTGTAAAAAGGAGGAAAAAAGATGAGGATAGAATTTACAATTATGGGCCTGATCAACCTTAAAGCTTTTTGGCTTACTCATATTTTCAAATACAATTTATTTTATTTTTTTTTTAATTTAAAGAAAAACTTTCCACAGGAAAAAAAAAGCCCTAAAACATTAGATATGTTTTTTAAACTAATTATATTATTTAAAAAAAAATCTAGCATGGTAAATAGGCTTATTCTTTCATAAAATATAATTTTAAGGTTTTCTTCAAAATATTAGAGCATCAAAATATTTAATCTAACGGATTTAAACATATTCTTTATGTGTGATGTGTGTTACATCCCCCAACCCCCTAAAAAAACGGCTCCCCATTTCAATAACTACCCTCTCCCTCTTCTTCTTCCCTCTATTGAAGTTGCTCCTGTGGAGAATGAGCCAATCTGGGAAAGAGACAAGGGGGCAGATGGATTTCGGTGCTCTGGATTATTCAAATGATAAAGAGAAAGGTCGGGCAGAGACGAGTCACAATAACCCTTAAAATCAAGATTTCCCAACCGCAGCTGCTATTGCTGATTAATTATTCCACATGGTTAAAATGAGGACTTTATGTGCTCATACAGCAGAGTTTAATAAAACAGATTGTATGCTACAATTTAGTCTCATAGTTTTAACGTTCCATAAAGTCGCACACATTTTTACAGAAAAAAAAAAAAAATGGAGAAAATGTTGAGGTGTTTAGGACCTAATTTGAAAAAAAGATAAGGACAGCAGTCGATATTTCAAATGAAATAAAGATTAGCTTTAAACAGGAAATATATGCCAAATGGAAGCATAAAATATTATTTCT